TAAAAACACTCTGTGCATTGATATGTTAAAATCTTTTCATAGTATCATAGAATCAACCGCATTGGAAATGACCTTCAAGATCATCAAGTCCAACCCTACCATGGTTACTAGACTGTGGCACTAAGTCTCATCTTGAAAACCTCCAGGGATGGTGAATCCACCACCTCCCTGGGCAGCCCATTCTAATGCCTGACTACTCTCTCTGTAAAAAATTTCTTCCTAATATCTAACCTAAACCTCCCCTGGCAGAGCTTGAGTCTGTGCCCTCTTGTCCTACTGCTGGTTGCCTGGGAGAAGAGACCAACCCTCACCTGACTCCAACCTCCTTTCAGGGAGTTGTAGAGGGTGATAAGGTCTCCCCTGAGCCTCCACTTCTCCAGGCTAAACAACCCCAGCTCCCTCAGCCTCTCCTCATAGCACTTGTGCTCGAGTCCCTTCACCAGCCTCTTCGCTCTTCTCTGGACCTGCTCCAGCACTTCACTATCATATTTCATATTATGTATTTAAAATACTGTTTATTTTGCTGGGTTGATAGGTTTGGAAATGCCTATTTGCTGTATTATGTGTTTAATTAAACCCACAAATTCAGATGTCTGTGCTTGTAGGGAGAGTTGTAATAAAGTTTACATAATAAAATTCTGCTTAAGCAAATGCTGTTTGAGATCAGAAAGACTTTTCTGAGGTGATTTTGTTGTTAGTAGTAGGTGCTAAAAGCTGAGTAAATTTAAATGTGAGATGTAGTCTTATGTCACTCAGGTTTGTATTCTAAAATAATAGTTTATTCTTCTTTATTGCAGCTTCCTAAAATATATTATGATACAACATGCTCCAAATATTAACTCTGTCATTTGAAGTTGAAGACGTCAGTGTTGCCATGACAATTTAAACTCAAACTGATACATTTCATACAATCTATAGACTTTTTTTCCCAAATTTTCCAAGCAGATGCACTTTTATTAGCTTATATGGAAGTAACTCTAGCTATGATTGTGTTAGCAATAAAACAGGAAAAGCAGAAGTTCAATAGTTGCATGCAAAATGGAACAAGAAAATAAGCAGAAAAGTAACCATACAAAAAAGCTGAAAATAACCCACACTAGAACCATGCAGGTGTCTTTTGTAACTGCGCTAATTGTGTTTAATAGAATTTCCTGTTTCATCCCCAAATTTCAGAGGACATTTGAAGAGGGGAAAAAAAAGTGCTTGAGGTATTATATAGGAATAATCCCTGATGATTAGTAGTTCTGTGTCTTGAGGTTTCCTTTCAGTATCACAATGATACTAAATTCTTTATTAAGGCTTTTTTTTGTGTGTTTCAAATGGCCACCTAAAGAGCAAGTAATAGCAGCAGAGAGAGAGATAAGAGACACAACGTGCAGCACACTTCAAATGGAGTGTGTAGGCAGCCAACAGTGTATCAAACTCCAGGGGTTTTACTGTGGAATAAGAGAAACAGAATTGGTTTAAAATTAAGCTATGAGATACGGTTTCAGTGATCTGAACGTATGTTGGCAGAAAAATGAGGTGGATCCTGGAGTGTACCTTGCACAGATCTGCAAGAGTTACTTTAGGAAGTAGCCCCATGCCAAGGGGCCTGATGGCTTCACTAACATAACAAATTAAATAGGGCATCAATTATTTTATAAACAGAATACGTAATGAAATTATTCATGTAATATATTCATATTATTCATGGTAATTATCATGTTAAGGATTTAATCAGCAAATACAACATTGTAATTTTCCTCTCTCTCAAATCATTCTCATTTATGCATAGTCAGATGCTGATCTCTTTCTGAATGTGCTTAATGGTTAGAGATCTCTCTCCTTTTCTTGGGTTTTGGCCACATTTGTACTATATTTGGGGTGCCCAAATGAGAGCCCAGAGAGCTCCTGAGAGCAGTTTGGATGCCTTCCCTTGCTAAATGTTTGTATATTACAGGCCTTTCTTGGCCAGGGCAAACAACACTGTGATGCTTCCCTGTTGATTAAACCAAAACTGCATCCTGGTTGTGGAAAATGGATCTCCCGACAGGTGGTAGATGTGACACACTTGCCCAATTACACTATGAGGTGTGGGAGGCCATATCATTTTGCCTGGTGCTAAGAGTCCTGAAGCTGCCTGTGTGATTTCTGGTTAATCAGTGCTTGCCAAAAGAGAAGGGCAAGTTAGAAAAAGAGGGTGCTTCTGAAGGAAGAATGTGGCAGAAAGTGAAGCATGATAAAGAAGGCTGGGGACTGTAGAGCTGATCTGTCTTGTGAGCGTGTCAGTTTAGCTCAGCTCTTGGCTTTGACCAGTGTCTGGTAGAAACAAGGACTTCAGGTGCATTGCCTCTATAGATACCCGAATTTCCTATATTAACCACACAATTCACTGGTGCTTTGTAGGACATCCCAAGTTAAAACTGATATATTGGAGCAACTTCCTGCTTCTTTCTGATCTCTGTCAGCACCTGGGCAGCAAGGGCAATACCAAGCAATACCAACCACAGTGAGGGACCTAAATACACAACTTCCAGAATTCATTGACTTTCCTGCCTAGCAGGTGTGATGCTGCATCACACACCAGCAACTTTCCAGCAGTTCTAATACATCCGTATAGTTCCTTCTTTGGATTTGTATTAGCTCTGTCTTTTGTATGGAAGAAGATATGCATGAAAGAAATCAGTTTTTAAATGATTGCCTGCTTTCCTTCTGCTATTTTGGAGAAAGCTTTCTTCTTGTTCTTTCAATTTCCCTTTCACATTTTTTGAGAAATGTAGTTATAGCCAAATAATGCAATTGGCAGAGCACACTGAGAACCTTATTGTACAGATAGGAATATAAATGTTATAAAAGAGAATTTCCATTTTCTTTAAAAACTTTTAAAAGGCCAATATTTAGATGTAGGAGTTGAAGAGTCCTCTGTAGTCTGCCATAGTAGCAGCTACATTTCATTTTATTTCAGTTTTGACGCATTGATGTTTGGCATTTGTAGCACTTGAGGAGTAATCATATTTAAGGAATTCTAGCCTTAAAATTATTTTTTTCCTTGCTACTGACAAGGAATGTGTTAGTGGTGTTCATTGCTGCTATTCCAGTATTGCAGACTAAATGTCATTAGTGTTTTTTTGTTTATTCGTTTTTAAGGCAGAAAACATTGCTGAATGGATTTTCCCACTTAGCTTCATATCATGTCTTATTTCAGTAGAAGTACAGAATTCTTGCTGTGTGATATTTTTGCCTAGTTTCTGTAATTCCTGAACTGTTTTGAGGTATGTTAGAAGGACACTGTGGTAATAGGAAACCTGCAAATAAATTCTTATTCCTTTCATGGCTGTTATGAAAAGTGAAACTATATCCTGTTTTAACACTCTTTTAAAGTCATCTAAAACGTGATAAAACACATCAAGAAATGAAGATTCAGGGGCGGAGTGACCATCTGTAACTTGGTCTCTTTGTCTCAGAACTGCGATATAATGGCACCATGCATTGATTGATGTGTTAGACTTATGACCTGAATAAAGGTCTCATAAATTTCTCTTTAAAAGTATGGAAAAGGGAAAAGAAGTAACCTGACTTTGTCCTTGTCTGTTTTCCTTCAGCAAGGGAAATGTATAGTGCTTGAAGAGCATCTGATTGGGCCTGAATTATTAATGAGTGGGCCTTTTTTGTTGCACAAGCAGGTTGAACTTTTTTCTTAGACCCTGCTTATTTCAAGCACTTATTTAATGTGTTTGAAGCTGGGGTGTTCGTTGCTTGAACTGCATTGCGTTCCTTAATATCTCGTGTTATTCATTAGTATCCCAATAGGATCTTTCATTTTGTTCCTGGGAGAGACTCGGTGGGAGAGGTAATCTGAACCTGATCTGTGAATATTTCTTCTCTAAATATCCCTTTACTATGTCTTTTCATCCCAAAATGTTGCATTGCTAGCTACCTTTACTAGTTTCTTTGCTTCTCCAAAGTTAACTTAGGTTTATTTTAATTCCTTCCCCAGTGTGCTTCATAGAGTTCTGTTGACCAGCATATATTACACCTTAAACCAAAAGTGCAATGTTGTCTGGCTTCTGTGGCCTCCAGCTGTGTGAAGAACACTTCTACACATCTTAATATTTCCAGAAAGTTTTTCTTTCATTTGGAGATTCTGTTCCATTACGATTGCATGCCTTCCAAATGCCTTCAGTTAACATCAGTCCTTTGCTAGGGCTACCCCAGTCAGCATTCTAAAGTTTATTAGGATTTGTTGTGAAGACACTTGTACCATTTCCTTAGCAATTCTTGGAGCAAAACTACTCATACAAAAGTATGACAAGACTCTGAAGATCCAGTGCTTCCAATATATCAAGAAATCTGTATAGCACACTTTTTTTTTTCTCTGTGTCATTTTGATTAGCAGATGACTGCAACTATTCAAGGTAAAATTACAGTTAATTATGGCCTAAAAGTATTGCACCACTGAGATTTCATTTAAAGAGAAAAACTTGAAAAAATTCTTTTGAATGCTCTTTACATTTGCTTAAGCTGTATGTTTTGAGTGTTTAGGGTGTTGATGGTATTTAATTTTAAAGTTGTGTGGAATATGAACATGAGGTACAGGGTCATGGTCTAGTTATTTCACAGAAGAAGGTTGGGTTGTAATTTTAGTACGAAAGGAGAAAGAGAAGGGAGAAGACAAAATATATGATAATACATGGTATACAAAATTGTGCATCTACTTAAGGCTGAAGTTATATCAAGACAATACTGAAATACCTAGCCCTTAACTTGAAATGGAATATAGCAATATACTCTTCTCACTGCTGTCACACATCTATATTTTAACATCTGTGCTGTCTAAGATTATGTATGACTGCTCTCAGGAGATGTATCTGATGATTGCATCTGCTGCAAATGCCACGTGAAAGGAAGAAATGCTGCTGCTTATGTACTTCATGCTTGTCTCAGTAAAGGATACTACAAAGAGTATTTTGTCTTGCTAGTTTAATATATACATGGAATTTTTCTGTGTATCTTTTCAGCTCATGGAAAAAACTGACAGAGACTACTACACTCTGGATGACATGTTTGTTTCTAAAGCAGCCAAAAGAGCACGCAGTGGGGAAGAGATACAAAGGAGAAGTTTGTTTCTAGCCAAAAGAGCACGCAGTGGGGAAGAGGAAGAGATACAAAGGAGAAAAGCAATACAGGAGCACCAGCAACTTGCTGCACGCATGGAAAAGTGCCCATACTGCTTTGATAGCAGTGAACTTTCTAAACATCTTATTATTGCAATTGGCACCAAGGTAATAAGATAGCAATTTAACACAAATGTAGAAATAAAAAAGAAATGGCCAAAAGAGCACGCAGTGGGGAAGAGGAAGAGATACAAAGGAGAAAAGCAATACAGGAGCACCAGCAACTTGCTGCACGCATGGAAAAGTGCCCATACTGCTTTGATAGCAGTGAACTTTCTAAACATCTTATTATTGCAATTGGCACCAAGGTAATAAGATAGCAATTTAACACAAATGTAGAAATAAAAAAGAAATGGTGTTAAGAGCGCTTAAAATTACGAATGAAATTGCTTCTGTGGAATGATTTATTGCTCTGCATCTTATTTTCCTTGCCCTTCCAATTGATTCTGCAGATTCATCAAGGGTGAGGAAGAAAAGATATAAATCTGTCATGAATTTTAGAGCTAATCTTTGATAGCAGAACTTCACATTTGTGGAAGACAGGAGCAATAATGAAAGATCTCAGTGCAGAGATAAGACTATAGAAGGATTTGCGGTAGACTAAATCACACCTCACTGGAGGAAATTTGAACCTGTGAAGAACTGTATCTTGATATCAAATAAAATTAAGTGGAGAATTCCATTTCTAAGCTTAATATCCTTTAAAATAGACAGAAGTTTGGCTTGGAAACCTTCCTGTTTCTGTGAATGCTTTTAAAAGTTGCATAAATATTTGGATTTATAACATCTGAAATGCTTCCATATAGCATTTTTGGTCATTTTTTTAATCCAAAGTTTTAATTTATTATTGTTATCTTCGTTTGACCTGAAACTCATTATCGGCCCATGGAATTAAATGCAGAAATATGTATTATGGCACATTGCATTTTTTAAAATAGAGATTATATATATAAATTCATATAGATACATACCTGAGTGTATGTATATATATATAATCTGTGCTTATGTATCTAATATATATACATATAGATATATAGATAGTCCTAGTTTTGTCTGGGATAGTTAATTTTCTTCTCAATTGCTGGTACAATGCTGTGTTTTGGATTTAGGATGAGTATAATGTTCATGACACACTGATGTTTTTAGTTGTTGCTAAGTAGTGGTCAGGGACTCCTCAGCTTCTCATACTGACCTTTCAGCAAGAAGGTCAGAAAGGCACAAGTTGTTGAGAGGGGACAGAGCAGAGACAGTTGACCTCAACTGACCAAAGGATATTCTTTCTATACCATATGCCATCATACTCAGTATATAAACTAGGAGAAAAGCTGGCCCAGGCCCACTGCTTGGAGAGTGGCTGGGCATTGGTTGGTGGGTAGTGAGCAGTTGCATTGTGTATCAATTGTTTTGTTCTTACTATTTATTTTTATGTCCTTTTAAACTGTCTTTGTGTCAACCCACGAATTTTACTTGTTTTTCCAATTGTCTCCCCCATCCCACTGTGGGCAGGGAGTGAGTGAACAGCTGTGTGGTGTCTAGCTGCCTAACAGGTTAAATCATGACACAGAGTATGCATTTTGCATATATATATATGCAAAATAATTGTTTTGTTCTTACTATTTATTTTTATGTCCTTTTAAACTGTCTTTGTGTCAACCCACGAATTTTACTTGTTTTTCCAATTGTCTCCCCCATCCCACTGTGGGCAGGGAGTGAGTGAACAGCTGTGTGGTGTCTAGCTGCCTAACAGGTTAAATCATGACACAGAGTATGCATTTTGCATATATATATATGCAAAATTAGGGTAGGGTTAGGGTTAGGGTTAGGGTTAGGGTTATATATAGGGTTATATATATATGTAAGTTTATTAAAAATACATACACGTATACATCTGTACTAAAAGACCTATTGGAATGGACTAAACAGTGTGGTTTGATAACAGTTATGATTCCAGTTGGTTTGTAAGACTGGTATTACTGTGTTTTTGGTGGGACTGCCCTCTGGATACTACTAGTTCATTTGAGTGGGAACTTTAAAAACACTAAAATTGCTAATAATTGTTGTAATTAGTAAGTACTGGCATCTATTGGTTTGAATTTAGGCAACGGTGAATTTCATAGCCTTAGCAATGGGAAGGTTTTTGATGCTGGAAAAATGGCACTTCAGTTTTTGTTTGCTTTTCGCAGGTATACTTATCTCTACCAAGCAACCAGTCCCTTACTGAAGGTCACTGCCTGATAGCCCCTCTGCAACACCATACTGCAGCCACTCTTTTGGATGAAGACATCTGGGAAGAAATCCAGGTCACCTGAGAAACTGTCTCTTAACAGTTTTGTACAATGATTTTGTTTTGTACAATAATATACTTGTCATAACTACCTATTTTCATAATTTTCATTATTTGCAGTCTGGCAGCTCTTCTCTGATACCATTCTCATATTATGGATGAAAATTAGTGGTCAGATATTAAAAGAAAAGAGAGACAGGATGAATACTGAATAAAATTTCTGATTTACAAGCGCTAGAAAAAGTTTCCTGGAATGCTGCAGAATATGTGTTGCTGGAGGTCTTTGAAACCATATTAGGGGAACATCTACTGGGGATGAAGTAGGTACAGCTGATCCCTTACTGTCTTCACTTGATTTTCTTGGGAGTGCCAAGGGAAAGAAAAGGATTATCAGAGCAGGCAGATCACTTAATATGAGCTGAGGATATGTTGTTTACATATCTTCATTTTTTTAAGATAATCTGAATTTTGGATGTATATCAGTTGAAGGAGAGCTGTCTTACTCTTCAAATCAGTGAGATCCCTGCAAGAATCCAATTTTCTACCTTTTCTTGAAAAGAATGACTAGAATAAAGTGCCAAGTGTGATGGGTTGTGCTTTCCAACTCTCTTATGAAGATATTTTGAAAATTTTGAGTTCTGTTTTCTTTGGAGATAGACAATCAAGGGAGGGATGTAACAAGCTTCTCCCTAAGAGATTGACTGTGATTGTCAGTCCCCCACCCCCTGCCATCAGGATTATACAAGGAGAAAACAATTTGCAACCTCTTCTGTCGAAATATTGGAGACTATTTCAGACTAGAGAAAGACTTTGTTGTTGCATTTGCTTAGATTTAAAACAAGCATAATTCGTAAGTTTGAAGTACTTTAAGTAATGTTTGTCTTGCCTCAAGCCTGGCAGATGGATTCTCTGACTTCTCAGATTTGCTCCCCACGTTGATTCTCATGGCTGGGGTAATTTTTATATAGTGTTTCCAAGTTAAATAATGCCTCTCCTTCAAGCAGGAAGGAAAAGGAGTTCTCTTGTATATCATAGAAATGCTAAGAAGGTTGGATAAGAAGCAAATAAATGCAACAAGTAGGATCAGGAGGAACAAAAGAGCATGGGGAAAGTGATAAATATGTTTGTCTAACTAAACTCTTAACTAAATAGATAATTTTTCTAAATTTGTATGAGAAATAAATAGGATAAAGATATGCAAATGCAGTTCCAGTATTCGATGCTAGTATTTTACTTGCTAGGAAATGCATCTAGTTGCTAAAACCATTGTCCTTTGACCCTGTGAATATATTCATGGACATTTTAAACATTTTTTGTAGCAAAGCACTTTGGAAGGTGATGGACGAATTTTTTTTCCCCCCAGCTTCTATGTGATTCAGTAGAAGGAGTCTGGAAGGCTTTAGCAAGAACATGAGCAGACAATCAGTGACTAAACTAACTTTCTTATGCCAGAGACATATTTTATGTTGAAGGGAAAAAAACTTATCACACTTAAAATATTCAAAAAATGTAGTATGGAACACATGTTTTAGCTATGTATTTTTGCTGGGATTGTTTTTTAGGATATATTGGAGTAAAGCAAGAAGGGTTCCTTTATGCTGTATGCCTTCAAGCACTTGAATTTAACATATTGTGTGGTTTAGACTGATGTGCTCACTTGGCAAAGTAAATATGCATGTAATATTTTTAATATGAAAAGATATAAATCTTTACACATTCTGCATTGACTGAACTGTTGCATCTATCAATGTCATGTGCATCCAAGCATAAGCCAAGCTTCCTTATGTGCTCTTATGAATGATTTTGTCCTTCCCAGTGCTAATTATGTTTTGCCCTGCTCAGAATTTGGAGGAAAAGTGCAATGTATTTAAACCCAAGAAAATGCAGTTGGGGTTATGTTTTGCCCTGCTCAGAATTTGGAAGAAAAGTGCAATGTATTTAAATCCAAGAAAATGCAGTTGGGTAAATGTGAGCTAACATCTGCTGATATTCTAGGCTTTTCGGTGGATTTGTGTTTCAGTTGATATTGCAGGGTGGCAACTGAAAGGAGCAGTCTTTCTCAACCTTTGGGTTAATGTTTCTTTTATCTCACTACAGTTGCTTGCTTCAGGGTATTTCAGAAGTAGAGGTCTGGGGACTGGAGTGATGAGGAAAAGACAACAAGCTATTAATTCAGAGTTGCCTGCCACTCTATGTCAGTCATGGAACAGTAATATCTTCTAGCTGTGTTTCATCAGTTATGTTAGGGGATGGTGGTTACAACTTCCTGTCACAGCACGGAGCAGTTTATGAGTGAGGAAAAATTCAGAGCACAAGGGCCTGCTTTGGAGAGCTTAGATACCTAGTTAACATATATATTTGACCAAGTTTTCTAGGCTTTTAGTTTGATTCATACTGTGCAAGGTGGCAAACGGGTAGGGAGAAGTGCATTGAAAACCTGCTAGTGATTAGTTTTACCTCTGTTTTACTTCAGTACTAGCTGGTGTTGTTGAGTATGTTTATTTGCTTATGCTTCTTAGGTTCATCAACTCTCCATTTAAGGTAGGGAATCTAAAACCTTTAGATGGGATTCACCTTTTAATTGTGCTGTTTGTACTTCGGAGCACTGTTAATTGGAAACAAAATCACTGCAAAAAGGACAACCTCTGAGTTATGTGAGCTGTAGAGCTATGATACCTCTGGTCTGTGTGGCTCCTACAGTTTCAGTGGTTTCTTGGCTTTATACTGGAAATGGTATAGGAGCACGTATAATCAAACAATCTCTATTTTTAAAAAGCAGTTTTTGAGATTTTGAGAAGGTTTCATAAACACTGACACTATCAGAAAGTCAGATCTTTTGTGCGTTTTCAAAGGAGTCTTAATGAGTCTCAGAAATCATCCCTTGTACTTGATAATTTAGTTCAGCATCTACACTGTAAGCTATAGAATGATGCTCTTGCATATCTTGGGCGCAAATACCAACAGTCAAGAGAGTTAGGGAGCAGCAAGAGTGAGGAAGGCAAGTCAGGGGTAGGGGTGACAAGCAAAGCAGGTTGGGGAGGTCATCTCACGGACAAGGTCCAGTCCCATGGTACCCAGGCCAGAAGAAGAGAGCAATTCCCATGATGGTAGACAGGGTCAGCCGTGGCCCAGTGTTGGCCAGACAAGTCTGCAGTGATGACTTAGGTTCAAGGTGAAGTCAGGGCCAAGAACTGCCAGGTACCTGGCTGGGCATAGGCATCCCTGAAACATAGGTCAGGCAAGGACCAAAAATGAGGGCCTGAACTTAACTGCAGCTCCTGAATGACAGGAGGCAAGGCCCACACTTGCCCACACTGCAGCACTCTGTTACCCCAGCTCTTTCTGTTGGAGCTGATCCCAGCTCATATCTGCAGCTTATCAGAGCTGTCTGTCTGCATAGGCAGCCAGAGCCCTACCAGGTGGAAGAGGTTGCAGGGCCTCTTGGGTATGTGCAGGGCCCTGGTGCTAACAGAATTGTAAACTGAAATACCCTTTGAATAGGTGCAGCACTTAATCCCTATGACAGGGAACTGGTAAGTGTAGTTTGAGGCTGCATTTATGGAGTATTGCATTTGGTTTGCTTCCATACAGTAAAGATGGTTGTTATGCCATGGCTTTCTTTTGAGGTAATGTTAGTGTTTTCCTTAAAAATCAAGCATGCCTAGTGGAAATACCCTTCCTTTGTTTTTTGTTGGGTTTTTTTCTTTCTTTTTTTTAACTGCATAATTGGAAGGAATAGTAAAAGGGTAATGGTAACTCTAGTAGGTACGAGACATTACATCCCAAGAAATTGCAAGCTTGGGACCTACTGTTTAAAGCCATGTTGTTTTATGCAGCACCACAGTTATGAAGGTCAACATAGTTTTAATTTCACCTGTAAAAATATATCGTATTTATTAAAACTTAGTTTGTAGTGTTAATTGTATTGTGTGTTTCACAATAGTTTTCTAGACTTCATATACTACTTCATAGGAAATATGCTTCATATTACATTACTGAATAATACAGAATTTTCCTACTATGATTGCTACTGTTTTCCATTTTATTGTGAGTTTATTACAAATATAATATGTTAATGAGGTAATATAATGTATCTGAAAGCTCTGAAAAGCTAATTTCAATTACACTTTTTTTTTCTTTAAACAGGTGTTCCGAAATGCATTGGTTAAAATGTTTGAAGCTAAAGACCTGGACTGTGTGTTCCTAGAAACAAATATGAGTATGAAGAAAAAGTATCATATGGTATATGAATGCATTCCTCTTCCCAAAGAAGTAGGAGATATGGCTCCAATCTACTTTAAGGTACAGGAAAATGTTTTTTTATGAAGTCATTTGAATGTATATATCATAATTCATCTATTTCTGGAAAACATTTCTGATATTCAAGTACTAGTTTTGAAAAGGTGTATACTTTGATCTTGCTTCTTGATTCATTCTTTGATCATATTCCTTGATCTTAAAACAAGCCCTGTGAGGTAATTCAGTTTTTCAGGTAGTCAGTGGAAGAGCTGTTTGTCCCTGTGCAGTTGTCTCAAGTCTGGCTGCACTGACAAATACTGAAAGAGGGTGAAAGAATTTTAGTCTCTCGAAGTACTTTAAGGACTGCAATACTTCTCACTTAAGTCTTGTTGTATAAACTTAAAACACCATCCATGTGCCTTGGCAAGCATAAAATGAGAAAATAGTGTCAACTGTTTTAAGAAATGCCAGTGTTCGGTAAACCCAAATTTTCCATGTGTTTTAGGTCTCTGATGAGCTTTAGACAGCATGATGGATACATTTTTTGTAGCTTTTCTGGTCTCTTTTCCCCTGTGATTCTGTAAGAAAAACTTCATTGAAGCTTTTGCCTGGAACTGAGGCCTTTCAGCTTTCAGCAGCTGGCTCATGATTTGTCTTTTATAAGTAAATTATTTGATTTCTTCTTCGAAATATGATTTTTGCTTTCTGGAAATAATGTGATTGGTTTCTGATGAAGTGGAGCATTATGATGAACATCAATGCAGTAACTTTTACCACATTCCACACTCTCTAAGATCTGACTGCTGTGCTTCAGGTGCTGGTAAAACTTGTGCTTTGTCTGAATACTCAGGGAAAGAGGAAGAACAAGGTTTAATGCAATGACATTTGCATAAAATTTTATTTGAGAAGTATCTACCATTAAAATACACAGCAAATGGAATTAAAACGGTATCTGTACAGCACTGTACTCACTTCCATACTATGGAGATACAGAGTCAGCTTTAAAGCTTTTTAAGGACAAGTAGCCTCTAAGCTGGATTCTCCTCTTAGTGCTTAGAAAAAAAAGGCTGACATAGTGTAATGAATTCATTACAGATTTTACTTGGGACAAGTAGAAAGAGAATGTGACATTTTAGTTGAAAATTGTTAATTTGTGTCAAGCAAAAGTTAAAGTAAAGAAAACCAAACCAGAGGAACGGAATTGAGTGAGTCTGAAGATATTATACAATGCCTTTATAAAGTTGTGGAAATTAGAAGTTGCAAAACATATAGTTACTTTGTTAAGAAGCAGTTGTGACTTGCAGTGCAATGTGCTTCACTGTGTTGAACAGTTAGTTCTTTGCTTGCTGTATCTAGGATGTTTTCACATTTAGATAAAATGATTTTACAGAAAGCTATAATGGAGTCTGATGAAGAGTGGTCCATGAACAAGAAGTTAATTGATCTTTCTTCAAAAGATGTTCGGAAATCTGTAAGTAATGGAATTTATTGAACACTGAATTTCTCAGCAAATTCCTCTCATCTTTTTCATTATTAGCTGTTTCAAAGGGAGAAGAAAGGGAACAGAATTAGATTAGTGCATCAGAAGATGGCGTAGGTATGATGAGAATTAGCAGTCAGGCTGAGCCCCTAACTGACATTAGGGAAAAGATTCCCATGTATTTCAACAATTGATGGACTGAGCTGCAAGCATTCGTTGAGAACAAAGCTGACACTTTGAGGACATGTACCAGCATAATTTTCAATATTAACTTTAAGAATTAAGGTAGATCAAAGATTTGCAAATTACTTTCCTGGAAACAGTATAATGTGTCTTTCTCACTGACCTGGAACAGCCATTTGTGTTGCTAAGTTTATGAAGTGAAAATATAAATAGCATTATGAATCTTTTGTCCTAAAACAAGGGAACAGTGCTCTCTCTGACTCCTGGATACTGAGCTGAAACGTCTTTATAAAAACAAATCTTAAAGGAATAATGCTGGATCTGTTAGGTTCAAAGATTGTTCCATCTTTTTAATATCAAAGTGGAAGATGTGTGCATATAGGCTTTATTACAAGTAGTTTACTACTACTATGTAGTAACAAGACTCAGTTTCTCAAAGTGTCTTTCAGTAAATATTGCAACTTTGCACTAAAGTCCTAGTTTAGGAGAAAGAAGAGATGAGTTTTAATAATGAGACATGAAGCCTGATATGGTATAGAGGGAGATTTAAGTGCAGAAGAGTAAGGGATGCAATTATTTTGGAGCAAGGGTTTAGGGAAGACTTTAAACTTAAGGTGGATGTAAACAGAAAAGAAAATAAGCATGTTTAGGGTATCTTCTGCTCATTGTTGTTTTAGAACAGGGAAAGCCAACATCTGTTACAAATAAGTGAAGTATCATTTTCTTGACACATGGTAAGGCATTAAGACATCTGATTTCTTCAAGAATCTCCCTAGCCATACATTTTTGTGGCTATTAATGTGCTCATTTGAAGGTAGGCCAGTTTTCAGATTAAGTCCAGACAATTCTTTAAATTAATACAATATATCTGAGCATAAATTGTTACACAGTTGTGTGAATTTAACATTATTTTAGGGTAAAGAAATGCCTGTAGCCTTCAGAAGGTTAGGAGAGTATAGTTTAGAGATGAAGTTTGGGAAGTTGGAAGTTGTGCTGGGAGATGATGGTACCTGGAAGGAGGGTCAGACATGGCTGAGACATCACCTAATGGGTGGATTTTGTGCAGAAATTGTGACTATGATGTCCAGAGGTAGAGCCTACGTGTCCAGCCCATGCAGAGCATCAAGGCCTTCTCTGATTCCCTCTCTGCACCCTGCAGTGAGAGAGCTGGGGCTGGGAGGGGACACAGCCAGGAGAGCTGACCCAGCAGCAAGCACTGTTCAGCAACAGCCAAAACACTGGTTTGTTATCAACACTGGTTTAGGCACCAGTCCGGAACTGAGCACTGTATGGGCTGCTGTGTTGAAAATTGACTCCATCCCAGTCAGACTTGTTGCATTGCTAGACACAAACGAGATGAAGCTGACCTTTTCCTTAAGGTGTCACCTGCCAACCCATTTTTCCTTATGTAATGATTTTTTGAAAGTCTATTTAAAATGTTTTATGTTTCTTGCTATGCTACATTGCTCCTCTGTATTAAATCTTAATTATTTTTAGAGTCAATTTTATATATGGAACATGCCTCATGAAAATTGTGTAGTTATTTGGACTGTAGCAGATGAAATGCTTATGAATTTGAGGCTTTGTAAATCTTATCAGTACAGGAACATCCTCAGCAATTAAGAGTGGAAAATAACTTGTTGCAGTGAAATAGCAGAATCAGTTGCAATACTGTAGCAATGAATGAATCCACTTCTGTCAGACTGAAGGATCTTCCAGTGTGGCAGAATATCCAGCATCTCCTCTGCAGGCTGACTGAATTACTAGTTTACCAGGTTTGGCAAGTTGATGATAACTTCCAGTCCTGTAGAGGGATTTCTGGTAATGTATTGTCCATAGGGGTGTTTCCCCTTCTCCCCAGGTGTCAATGGGGTAAATATTTCCTGGGTAAATATTTCCTGTTATCACTCAACACCTTACCTTTAATAAATGCAACTTGCTAGTGGCTGTCTTAAAATTTCTGCTAACCCACATAATTCAGGTGTGGATTCAGGGAGGCATTTTCTCACTGTGCATACTGCTGCGTGGTCTGTCCCCACCTCTTACCAGGTGCTGCAGCAGTGGCCTCTGCAGGTTCTGCCACCTGGTAATCATCTCTTCTGTGTATTTTATCTAGTTACTACGTGCTGTTCTTTCCCCTTAAGTGTTTGTTTTGCTGTTTCTCTGTTGCAATTTTATGCTACATGTACGGGGTTTGAGAAGTGGTTTAAAATAAAACGTGATACTCTCAACTGCAAAACCGTGTTCAAATTCATTCAGTTGTGGGGAGTTTGACTAAATGTCAGCAGTTTGTTAAACATCTGAAAATGTGGTTTTGCATGTGTAGGTTCCTAAAGGATTGCCATACTTTTCTGTGGACTTTGGCCTTCAAGGAGGATTTGCTCATGTGATTGAAGATCAACACAATTTCCCTCATTACTTTGGAAAGGTATTGCTATGTAAAAGATTAATTTACTAATGATACTCTGCTTTGTAAAATTTAAGTATTTTAAACAGATGCTACCAGAACAGTTACTTTGATGTACCTTATCTGTCTTTTCTTGATGAGTCATTGTAACTTGGCTTGTTGAATAAAGGAGTAGCTGATTTTTTCACTGTCTGATACTCAGATTATGATTCTAGATTCATGTTTCCTTTGAATGAATAGGAACTCTAGATATTTGACATTATCGATATATAATCTTATAGATGGAAAATACTTACATCTCTTTAAGAGTTTTCATGGCCATAATACTCACATATAGGTCCACTGACTCCTGCTTGTATAAATTAGG